TCCCAGTGAACCTGTGTCCTCCAGCCAAGTTCCCGGCAACGATGGAACAGGTGGGGGACGGTGAGATTCCAAAAGAGAGACCGGGCCGCTCAGACGGGCTTGTTGGTTGAAATGCATTTCTAATAGATAAATCAAGGGCATCCATTTTGTGTCAAAATAAGAACTGAAGATAATTTCCCCTAAACTCATAAGAGCAATAAAATTCAGACATAATCGTACATTCAGAATCATGACAGTTTTCCTGAAAGCGTGCTGCGGATTCAAGAGTCACAAAAGAATCCCCAATTTCCAGTCACTGTGACTGAAGTACGCGTGTCACACCACAAATCTGACATCCTAAGACATGAGAAAAAGTCACAGTTAGGGAGAAGACCTTCATGATAATTAGGAATTTTAAAAGAAATAGTCTCATTTCCAAAACAAGACCTTAATATTCAACTTAGGAAATAAAAGCTCCTGTACCGGCCGGAGGCAGCCCTTTAACGCCTTGGCCTGTTTCCTCCACGTGGGCGTCCAGGGCGGCCCTTTGCAGAGACTTTTGGTCCACTTCATTACCAAGTTCCCGACTTGGAGCTTCTGCTCTACGTGTGGAAAGGCAGCAAGCGGCTTTGAAGATCTGACACTCCACTCCGAGGTGACAGAGAATCACTCACTGGTTCAAGAACACAGAACAGGGGCTGACGTGAAATGAAGAGGTCTTCCCAGCAGGCTTGCTGACACCCACAGAAACCGCACAAAGACGGGGGGTCTGTGCAGTCTTCTCAGGGAAAAGATCCATGGATTTTCCAAAGGAGTTTTCCTAAAACTTCCAGCATACAAAGAACCATTGTTGTAGGCTCATTTCTGTGTGCTCCTGTCCTTAGCGTCCCTACACTCACAAAGGTCTGCTCATCCCTGGTAAACAGAGTCGGGTCTCTAATTCTCAGTGATGTGCCAGGCACAACTGCAGTAACCCAATAAAGTCCACGTTCCCCAACACACACCACAATGCTCTTCTGGTACAACTGAAGTCAACGTAAAATCTGCATATAGACTTAAGGTTTTATTTAGAAGTTTCTAGCAAGCAAACATCAAACATTGACCATATTCATGCCATCAATTCTCTGCTACGCTAAATATTTTATATTATTTTCTAAAATTATACAATAGCCACCAAAGATTCTAATTTACAATATTCTCTCTAATACCTAAGATACTCATTTTGAATTAAGTTAACCTTTGAGTCACATATTTAGAACAAATACCAGAACAAATTCAAACTCACTAGTAGAAAATACATCGATATTTCTCCAGATTACACACCACTATCCTTAAAACACCGCAGCCTGCCAGCGTGCTCCACACACCACCGCCAGGACGCCCACAGCGAGGCCCTGCACACCCACAGCATCAGCTCCAGGGAAGCAGCTCCCTTCCCCTGGTGCCCTTTAGTTAGCTACAGAAGAGCTTACCCCCCACCCCTATTTTTTATTCGTAGGCTCTTAAGTTTTTCCCTCTCTTGGGTCTCTTCATTTATACTCACAGTTTTCAGAATCTAAGAAGGCCTTTAAAATATTCATTCTAGTAGGGACCACATTTTCTCCTGCCTGGCTAATACCTTCTGGGTATATCAAATGCCCAGGCCCCGTCAATACTGTGGCTAGAATAGGCTAAGAGGAAACACCTCTCTCGACACAAGTATCACAGAATGAGAGTTTTTAAAAGCCAGTTGTAATGGGAAAGACAGCTAAATTAAAATGAAACCGGACTTTTAAAAACCCCACCTAATGTTTTCTTTTGTCTTCTATTAAATGTTTATCAGCCAATTCCTCTTAAAATAAAGCCAAAAAGGGGACAAAGTGTTGGAGTCCAGCTTCCAAAAGCCTTCTCATAGAAATTTTATGAAAACTTCTGCTAGACACAATTCCAGGAATAGTGGATAAATACTGGAGAATCGCCCCTAAAACTTGTAATAAACTGAGACATGAGCACTCTGCTGGGTTAGTCCTCCGGCTCATCAGCTCCTTGCATTCCACGTGGTCCCGAATGCTGTCCTAAACATCAGTCCTCTCCCAGTTTGGGCCAAAAGTGTTGGGAGACCAGAATGTTCTTTAAGTCTCTCAATCCCAGCAGGAACAGGCAAGAGAAAAAGATGACTGCTCAAGGACTCTCCTCCCTCACAATTCTCCACTCATTCCTGCAGTCAGAAATACTCTGGTCCACACTGGGGGTCCACAGTTCATCACACAAAAATGGGGCAGTGGGAGGGCCTCAAATATGCTCCTCCTCCTCCTTGTTGACACTTCTGCCCTAGACAGTATGTCTACTTTTGAAAACTGGCAGCATTTTTCCACAGGGATGTTTGTATATAATTTAGGTAGAACTGGCACATTCTAACAAAAACCACTCTGTGACCATTTCCAGTTTGAAATTTTGTAATTACTCCCTTTCGGATTGTCCCTTGATGATTTCTTTTCTCTTCTTCTTCCTGATCAATAATTATCTCTGATCTAAGTAACTTACCCCCCAAGGTAGACAGAAAAGAAGCTGACCAGTCGGCGTGAGGAATTACAGAAACTGCCTCAGAAACACGAAAACCCCAAACCTTCCAAAGACACAGAGGATGACTTTCCTGACAGCTCTTGAGACACGCATGCCAACTCAGAAGTACAAATTATGATATCTGTTCTTGTATAGACTTTTATTAAATTGGATTCATCTAGTAAGTCATGTATGTGAAAACAGTATTATTTCCGGGGGGTCCTACATATTTCCAATATATTGAACTTAGGGATCCAAGATTCTGAACATGCCATCACCAAAAAAAATTGCAAACCTAAAAAACAAAAGGAAAAAAAATTAAACAATGTCAAAGGAAAAGACTTTCTTAGAAAAAGTCAGTATTTACTTTCATAAGTTTCAAAACACTGTAAAGTTAATGCTTTTTCTCTTCTGATAAGTTCTTAAGTCTACCAATAACATTTATTTAAAAACAAGGCAGTTGTACAGCAAAGTAAATATTAAATTATACTCATACACAGCTATTTAATTATCTAGTATTTATTCGGTCAAAATAATTTCACATGTACAAGCTGAGGCTTTACCGTAGCATCAGTTTTGTGTGTATTTCCTTTTAAAATCTGTCATCCTGGTGTTGGACATTAGAGATGCATAGATGAAATTACAGGTTTGTTCCTGCACAACTCACACCTTTAGAAACTACTTGAGTCAATTAGTAGCAGTTAGAAGTCTTTGTGCCTCTTAATTAACTTTTAGCACACGAAATAAGGAAGATGCCCTCCAAAGTTCTCTTAACCTCAAAAAGGGTTGATCTAGATAGGCCTTTTTGAAAAAAGAAAAAGAGAAAAAACAATTGTGTTTCGGTAAATACAGAAAATCAGAGTTTCCAAAGTTAAAAATGTCAGCCATTGTATCTCATGAATACACAAAGTGAACTCTATAAAAAAATTCTACTATGGCTTAAAAGATCATACTATTGGGCGGTGCCTGTGGCTCAGTGAGTAGGGCACCGGCCCCATATACCAAGGGTGGCAGGTTCGAACCCGGCTCCAGCCAACTGCAACAAAAAAACAAAAAAAGAAAAAAATTATCATACTTTTTAGACCAGCTTCTTTATTTATGTTATCGAAAATTAAGAGTTCAGAGTTCATACTTGCAGAAGTCTAAAACATCACATCAGGGGACAAGGTAAAACCAAGAGTTTCTGACTCACTGCCGCTCACTGTGGCTGCGCTGGCCTGGGGGAGCTTAAACTGGCAGGCCAGACGTGCAATCACTGCTCCCCAGTCGGTCACGACGGGCCTGGGTTTCTACAGCGGCTCGTGAGTGATTTTTCTCTTAATGCATGTGAATAATTCTCCCTGTCACTACAGAAAGTCACATACAAGAAGAAAAAAAACACATTTTATGAATTTTAAATCATTCTCTCAGTATCTGAAATGAGGGTGAGAAAATAAAGTCTGGAGAGAAATGAGGTAACAGAATGAGCCTCTCTAGAAGGAGCGCGAAAATCAACACGATGTTTAAAAACACAAAAATGTCAGTGCCTCAGAATGTGCCCTCCACAATGGCACGAAATTTAGTTCTCTCAGCATCTCATTGATTAAACAAGTGCACTATTTAGGCTAAATATAAATAAATTTGTGACACTAATTTTGCTATTCCATGCAGTACAGGAAATGAAATAACATGAAGAACTACTTGTTTAAAATAATGGCTTAGTATAAAATCTGAACTCAAGCAACGAACGAAATTGGAATTCTGTTCCCAGGGGAGTGAAGCCTCGGCAGTTGCTTCTGAGGCCCTGTCACATCAACAGGTACAATGGGACACACCCATTGAGATAACAGACACCCCCCAAAAAGTTTTACTATAATTACAAATCCCAGCTCTATTACCTGCAACTGTAAAATATATTTTGGGCGTGGAATAATTAAAGCAGAGTTAACTGGTATGTGTAAAATCGTTACAGCCAAGTTAACTCGCATAACTAACATTCGCAGTGACACTTAACATTTTAAAAAGTTAAGCTACACACATACACGTAAAACAGCAAAATCCTCTATCATAGAAAAAGAAAGCTGCAGCAAGAATCCTCACTTTCCAGTGTGAAAATCCTATTAAAGTCTGGATTCCCATTTGAGAGCAAATCCTATTTGTTTAAAAAAAAAATGATTTCAATCTGCAAATTCCTGGGGACTTGGGTCTTTTCACATAATAAATATTTCGTTGCTGATGAAGTAGCTCACTAGAGCTTACTTTAAAAAAAAAAACTCTATTTAAACAACTCTAAAAGTTTTAATTTAAAAAAAATGTAGATTTACGATGTTCACCTTTCTGTTAAACATATGATCCAGTTAAGATACGCCAATATCTTGTTTAATACCTTTTGTTTACAACTTTACAAATTTTTTTTAATCTCCAAAAGGAAGGAAGGAACTGGGGCAGAGAGAGGTGGAGAAGCAGGAAGCCCTCCCTGCCTCAGGTGTTGCATTACCATTCGGTCTGCAGTGGTTTCAGGACGAGGCGACCGCACACCTTCTAGTCAGAAATCAGATGACCTCAAAACAACCTCATGCAGGCTGAGGCCTCATGTCTTTCGCTTAGAGCTAAAAATAAAAATACATGTGAATGAACAAATGATCATGGAATGAAATCTCTAACATGACACTCAAATATAAAAATATCAGAAGCCGTTTTTCATCACAGGGAAATGAAAATGTACACATTTCTACACAGAGAATCACAGCCCGAGTTGATGGGAGGGGCCCTTCTCAGAACCCTGTTAGATGCTGGGGAACAAGAATGACAATTTAATTCCAAGACAGTTCTACAAAGCCAAAGTACTGTTCTACTCATTTCCTGAGGTGGTGAAACATTTATTTTTTATAGAATGAGTTAAATATAACGATGTTGTTAATGAAACAAGACAGCCCCTTAACTCCTTTAAAATATATATATGCACATTATAAATTAAAAAACAGGGCAAAAAAGGAAAGCAAAACACTAAACCATACATATACAGTGGTCTAGTCCTTAGGAACATGACTCCTGCCCTCCACAATGCTGGCTGGACAAGAAAACTAGCCTGTTTCTCCAAAGAAAGGCATTCCCTCATTTAGCAAACTATTTGGCAGCGCTGGCAGTTACGCTGAGCCTGAAAAAAGGGTCCCAGACTTCAGAGAGTCTTGAGTCCCTGGTGTCTATTTCCTAACTGGGGGTCTCAAGGCTGGGCTATGAGGCTAAGGAGACAGACGGTATTTCCACGAGAGGTAGGAGGAGGGCCATATATACTCAGTGACAAAAGAATGAGGCCGTAGGATTTAAAACAAAATCCACGACAAGCCTGAACCTTTATGTGGCCAGCAACCAAATCATCATGTATCTGTCTTTTCAGTGTGAAGCTTTTATTTTCAAAATCCCACATTAATCCTGGAAATTAATTCTCCCTTTTTGGAAGAATGCTGGTAGTTAGGTAGGAAATGCAGACATAATGCCTTCGACTATTTTGAAAAGTTAAATCAGCCGAGTACCTCTAAAATTCACTTCATATGTGGAAGAGCACTTCATTCAATGGCAGCCATAATTGAAAATGCAGAAATTTTGCTGACAAAGTCACATTTAAAGAACTGACCCTAACTGCAGTGTAATATAGACACATACTTTATGAAATTGTTTATACCAGTAAGTTAAATATAATTTGTGAATTATCGAGCACAGTCTATACTAACATTATTGTTCAATGTTTCCTACTTCTCTGCTGGTTCCATATATACCAACGAAATCTTTAGTTTTGTGAAAATATGCTACATTAACAACAAACATCAAAATATATGCACCTGATTCAATTTAAGCCCTACGTTCACCTTAAAATAAAAGCAGGAAACACAACTGAGTCGGTTTAGCTTCCCTAATGTGTCATGGTCCAACTAAATTTAATAGCTCAACAAATGGTATAAAGCTAAACAGTCTGACTGAAGGTTTCAGACACACGCTTTAAAGTAATATACTGTAATTTATGCTTAAATAGTTAGAATAAAGAAAAAAAGGACTGTTTAGAATCCTATCGAGGTTTTAACAAATCAGTATGCTTTGAAAATTCATTCCCCACTGATGTTCAGAAGGTGATTCTGTAAGTTGTATACTCTGAAGTATTCAAATTTTAATCAGGGCCAGGGGCAACGCTGGCCTTATTTGCAAGCAGTCAACAATACGCACGCCATAGTGCCCTACTTTTATTCTGGTTTGTAGTGAATTTCAGAGAAAACATTTAATAGATAACACGTTTTCCACTTTAAACGTTAAACATTCACTCCCTTTAAACCCCACAGTTGTCCTGTACCCAGAAGGGAAGCCCGCTCTGACCCACAGCTCTTCTCAACTCGCCTCTGCTGCCGGCTAACAGCTGAGACGCTTGGTTCTCCCAGAACTCACATCTTCCCCTCAAGTCTCACGCCCCCAGCTGGGACCCTCAGCTAGACCTCTCCCTTTCTTCTGCTTCCATCATTTTATATTTGGTCACACAAATTACAGTCTACAATGACAAATACAGTCCCACAACTTCACCACTTCCACTTTGGTCAAGGCCTTGGAGATAAAGTAATGAGACTTTAATGCTCAGAGGACATGTTTTAGCTTACTAACTTTACACTCAGTCTTAAGTTGAATGTTACACTGAGGTCTACCATCTAACAGGATCAATGAATGGGATTGAAATACTTGTACACTGACAAACCAGAGTCAAATTCCTATAAAGACAAATCCTACTTAAGAACATCCAAGGTCAAAGGCATTCTCACGAAACCTGTTTCCATAGTTTGCAGTGAATCTTTTCACAGACAGGATTAAGCCTCATGACACATGAGGGGTGACCCTGCCACCTGAGCACTGCGATCCCACCTTAGAGATGTCCTTTCCTCTCCCAGGACTGGACAGATTCTAAGACCTCCTGTCTCACACAGATGGCTCATCTCCTAACTTGAGCCAAAACCTACCAGCATTCTTTCTTTTGGAGACAGAGTCTCACTTGGTCACCCTTGGTAGAGTACTGTGGCGTCTTAGCTCACAGCAACCTCAAACTCTTGGGTTCAAGCGATCCTCTTGCCTCGGCCTCCCAAACAGCTGGGACTACAGGCACCTGCCACAATGCCTGGCTTTTTTTTTTTTTAAGAGAAGGGGGGGTCTCACTCTTGCTCAGGTTGGTCTTGAACCTGTGAGCTCAGGCAATCCACCCACCTCAGCTTCCCAAGTGCTGGGATTATAGGTGTGAGCCACCATGCCCAGCTAGCTTTCTTTACGTGGAAATCCTGCGACTTCACACATGCAGCTTTGCCAGCAGCCTAGATGCTACTTCAAACACATTTAACAGCCAGATAATCTCAATGATTCCACAGGAGACAGAATGCCCCTCAAATGTGGAGACAATGGTTAGCCACTTGGAAAATTTAAGACGAGATCTCTAGCTTCATTCCTTAAACCAAAATAAATTCCAGATATACTGCATTTAAAGTAAAAATATGAAACCATAAAGCTACTTGAGAATAATGTGGGTAAAAGTTTTAAAAATACATTTAAAGTACAGAAAAGACTTTAATTATAACATAAAACCAAAGCCAAAAAATGACATGATTTTTAAAAAGTGGCCCCCCAAAATCCCAAAACAAATAATAAGCTGAAAAAATATTTGCAGCAAATACCAATATGGATACTAATTGCTAAAAAAAAAAAAAAAAAAAAAAACTCAATGAAAAATGGGAAAAAATTACAGACCGCTCACCAAGAAAACACAGTGACTGGTAATCACACAAAAATATATACAAACCCGTTCCAAACTGAAGAAATGCAAACCACGATGAGATGCTAATGATTACCAAGAGTGCGGGACCCAGGCACTGGGCAAACCATCGGGAGAGGCAGAAACTGGCACTTAACTTCTGGAAGAACAATGGCATAATCTACCAAAACTTTAAAATCTGCACACCACCCTGCCAAGTCCGACAGTATGCAAAGCAGACTTTCAGTCCCAACTCCTATGAAAAAGCAGCGTGCGGCAGGGGTGGGGTCCATGCTTAAAGACTTAAAGGGATGTCCCAACAGCACAGTGTGTGCATCGAGTTTGATAATCCATTGCCCTACACCTCTTTCCATCTGGAGACATGGCCAACCCAGTAAAACTGTGGTTACCATAGACTAATTCAGTGATCTCAGATTCCTTCAAAAGTACAATCTTGCCATTTTATGTGACACCTAGTAGTACAGAAAGACACATAAAACTAGTGGGTCTTTCCAGTAAAACGTCACTAAAGAAAATCAGTCTCTCAGCAGAAGTCAGAGCAAAATGCACCGCAAAATTATGTGTCCACTTCACTCTACAGCAGCAGTTCTCAACCTGTGGGTCGCCACCCCTTTGGGCGTCGAACCAACCTTTCCCCTTTCACAGGGGTTGCCTAAGACCATCAGAAAACACATATTTCCAATGGCCTTAAGAACCCAGACACTGCTCCTCACATGTGGGGGTCACCACAACATGAGCTCTCACATTTACCCCAAGTCAACCAAACCTACCCAGAGACAGGATTCTTCCATTATAAGGCTGACCCCTTGGGCAGGACGACAGGGGACATGGCTAGACTTGGACACTCAACCCCCTCTCCCCCACCCCACCAAGGCAACCAAAGGATTCCAACAGTGACAGTGCAGAATGCATCAATTCTGCCTATGACCAGGGTGTGTATCCACTGGCACATGCAAGATTCTGAAAACTTTCCACCAGCATTCTTATTTATCAAACACAATATTCTTCAGATATTAAGCCACTATAATTCAAAGAAATATTCTTCAGACATTAAGCCAGTATAGTTCAAAGAGTGTGGGTTACCATCAGACTCACCCAGTATCTAATGCCACTGACGCCCTCACTGATAATGTCTGGTGAGGGTGATTCTGTTCCGTCCAAACCTTTACTCTTACAAGTTTTGCCTCCTTCTCTCCTAAGGGTAAAAAGACCCTAGGATGCCTCTTCTCGATCACACAGCTCCGGGGGGGGGGGGGTGCCATTCCATAGATTCTCTCATGCACCTCCCCTTCAATGCTCCCCTCCTTTCTCCTACAAACAATTCCAAGTTTCCTGATCCCGAGATCAATCTACTGCCTCAAACAGACTGCGGGCTACAGCTAACATCTTTCTTCCCCTTTTTCTTTACCTGGAACTGCCAAGAGTCAGTTATGTTTGCTTATTCAAAAATGTTTACTGAAGAGTATGTGTCCCCAGGGTTTAAGCTGACAAGGCCCCTCCCTCAGGGAGCCACAGGCTCCATTGCATTAATAATCAGACACACCACTATCGTGTTCCAAATGATAGCTGTCACTGAAAAAAAATACCCAGGCTCCGAAAAAGAGTAGAAACCCGAGGGCTGAACACCCTGGTGTCCCTTCCCTTTGCAGACCATGCGGGCCACGTGCACAGCCTTGAGGTCTTACCCAACAGCCCGATGGGTCTCCTAGAAGAAATGACATTGAACCTGAGCTCCAAATGCTGGAGAGGAAGTGGCCAGCAAAGGATAAGAACAGGAGCATTCTGGGGGGAGGGAAGTAACCACTCAACAGTCCT